ATATTGTATGCTGTAATCTGTAAATTAGTATTAACGTCATGTATTGAAATATATATATGACAAAAATGTCATTTCTGGTATCGGCAACTATCATTTTCTTGCTTTAATGTTGACCTTTGTCATAATGATTATTATACTTGGATATGATAAAAGTTCACAAGGGAATCATATAAGACTCACTTTATCTAGCATTACGTCTCTGTACTCATCAAAACTTGTATTAACGACTGTTTGTTCAGTCTCACGACAATATCATTCAAGTTGCATAAAGGTTGTTATCAATCGAATTGTTCAAGCTTAAGAGGAAAACCGTGTCATAGAGATGTGGAACTGGGAACTGTTATAACAATATCTTTCAAACTAAGGAACCATATGATGAACTTAAAGAATAATTATAGAAATGAATAAGACGATATAAAACTGCATTTTACAATTATATCATATCGGGTGCCTATTCAGCAAAATGAATTACGTTGATGTTAGTGTTAGAGTTGTACATATCAAATAAGGTAAACAGAATCCCTAAAGAACGTAACATAAAACATAAAAATTGAAAATGTTGCAGACTCGGTTTGATTGAGCCTGTTCGTGGACAGTACTGGTAAGTGGTAGTTACCGTCCATGCCCCCTAGTTCCTGCTTAGGCAGAATTCAACATTTAAGCTTCCATCGATTAACAGTCTATGTACATTCAAATTATTGTTTAACCCATGATTTGGTCGTTACACAATTTTTTTTGCTCGTAGTTTATAAACGATTAGTTTATTTTTTTACTTGAATATTACATATATATCAAATTGAAAGTTTACATTCGAAAACAAAAACCGCCGGAATTGATATTTTAAGGGTAAAAAATTTGAGTTTGAGTATTTGTTGAGATTTTTCCCCTCTCTTACTATTGTGTTCCTTCGTTCAGATCATTAAACAATTAACGCAATTACCGCCTTTCTATTTGAAAATGTGCTCTTTCCTAAGTTGTTGATAGATAATTTATCAGTACAATATGTGAAGTTCGTGTTTTAAGTGAGCCACTGTTTATTGTATACTCTTTAAAATAGTGGCATTAGGCCCATTTAATTAAACTTAAAAAGTAACACATTTCAAAAGATTGACTGTTATAATGGTCATTGATCAAATGGTGATTATAAATGGTAAGTATAAAATAAAAAAGACTATTCCAACCTTTTATAAACACTATCGATAAATTCTGAAAGCTATGTATGAAATTTTCTATCGGCCACATGGATTATTGCTTTTATTTGCAAATTAGAATACAAAAATATATTAATTTATATTGGAATCAAGAAATGTGAACTACGATCTATTCAAGGAGTGTTCTTGATTACAAAAAGTCTCTCAAAAGAAGAGCAATTTGATTCCAGCGACAAATTGGCCTGGCCATTTGAAGGAAAGTGTTTTTATATTGCGTCTTTTATAGGAATTCTTTTAAACGATAGATCTACTTAATATATAGAAAGGTTAAATCAAGAACACAAAAATACAGAATGCTTTTTCCGATAGAGTAATCATTCAGACTTTTGTATTGTCAACAATTTGCTGGGAATTATTTTAGGAGAGGGCAATATTCAGTGTAAGTTGCTTATCTATAGTATGTTTTTCAAGTATTATCCATATGTTTCAAGAATGAATATATGCTCTAGCATGATTATTTTATTTGCCGTCCGAATATTGGAGGAAAAGCTTAGGAATGAATTGTAAATGTAGTCCAGGGGGCCGCTAGTTCAATCCACGGGCTATGCAAAATATGTCTATGTCTATGTACTTGTGTATTAAATCTAATGGTCATTTGTCATTCACCACTGAATCTTACCTCATGGGGGATACGTTGTTGGTCAATTGCGGAGAAATTGGATAGCTGGCTTTCAAAGCGGTATCTTCTAGACGGAGTTTTACTTTGAATTATCTTGCATAAAGAAAATGATTCAAAACAGTATACAGCCTTCAAATACCAAAGCTAAATAGATAAATTACATTGTAACACCTAATTCTTCTGACTTTATCTTTAACAAAAAAAAACATGATGAAAATTGTGCAACGATTGAAAATATAAGAAAACATTTGAAGAATTGGACAAATGTTTCTTACATTATCATTTGACACAATTTTAAAATGCATGATGATACGATATAAATTATTCATGAGAGATAAAAGCTTTTTTCTCTTCTATCTCTTGCCTTTTGTCTAAAACATATAATAAACATGAACGCATAATGCTTAATAGAAAAACTAAAACGTTTGTTGCCTTTTTTAGTTATTTTTGCAAGTGATTATGGAAACTATTTCACGTTTCTTATCGAAATGGCAAAGTAATGCAAGTGATGCGTTTGTAACGCAAACATTTACAGGTTAAGATAATTATTATTGACTTAGATCATTGAATTATTATTATCATTTGAAATAAAACAATTCTACGGGTATTTGTCAAAGATGAATTATCCTGATGAAGGTCATTATATGACCGAAACCGGTAGATAAATATAATAACGTAAACCCACTCTGGTGTTTCTGACGTGTTGTTCTTCATCCCTTCCTTGATTACTTTGTTTAATGATGAATTATTTTTTGAAATCGTTTCGTGTTAGTAACGCAAGGAAATAAATTAATTATATAATAAATAGCCTTGTTAAAGTGACTTTATGTCATTCAATAGTATATTTATGTGGTGAGTGAACAGTTGACGGTCAAAGTAAAATAACATTTTATCAAATGTTATGGTTTCTATTACTCCATCTTACTTCCGATTTCTTCAGGATTAATGGTTCTTATGAAGGTAGTGTTTTTATTTTTGTTATTAAATGACACGGTGACCGTGCTCCTGGGGTGTCCCCTTTGTGCAATATTATCCCTGATTAGAACATCGTAACATTGGACTTTCTTTCATTAAATGTTTAAGGCATCTGGAAAAGCTGCTGTATATACATTGTCATTAGCATCAAATTGAATGCCGAAGAGATTTTCTGACTGATTTTTAACTCGAGAAATATTTCGAACGGTCGGTGGTATCAATTGAAGAAACATCGAAACCTTTTACATTTTGTAACTGTACAGAACAATTGAATATACAGAGTGTATCATTCAATGAGTTAAATATTAAACAAACTCCTACTGTTCCCAATTACGTAAAGTATGTTCTTATCTGACAAGCTTATAATGAACGTATGTACTTCTTATTGGTTTAGTCTGCAAGGAATTTAACGCTTATCCTTAGCAATTATTTCTGCTATGTAACGATCATTGAATCTGACAGCATAAATAAGGTAGATAGCAATTTTTAACAAAGAACCTTGCGTGTTTAATGGCTTATATGACACTTGTAATGTTTTGGAAAAAAGGACTTGAAATGGAAGCATATGCTAGTAAAATCCTCTAAAGGCCTCGGCAGACGGTAGGATTTAGTTGTACAACACTAATTATAGATAATATGTACAATTTTAAAAGCAATACAACACTTCCATTCAGACAGTAATTCTCCGTTGTAGGAATCATCTGAGGTTTCCCTTAAAAAAAGTTCCCTTCCAATTGATCATTTACATACTTTGCTCACTAAATTACTTTTTTCTCCATAAGTAATGATTGAAACATTCTTTAAAGATTTTATTTGTTTAATGTGCAGTCTGACCGAGATTCAAACCTGGGACCCTCAGAATACCGTACTGTGGCCGTACTGACTGAGCTGTCCGGCCACCTACAAACGTCCTCCCCTAATTAGAGAACAGTTCAATATCGTGACATAATCATTTTCGGAATAATTTGGGGTTCGAACATACCACAACTTTGGGTCTCCTGAAGAGTTTTTAACATCATTTGTACCCCCATCTTACTACTATGTTTACCTTTTAGCCCTAATTGTTCTGGAATTGCATTCATTACACCCATTATCAGGAGATACTTTGACAATATGTTACTTGTCATCGCGGAAGGTCTGTACGATAGAACATGTCCTATCCCTTAGTATTAAGGTTTACGAATTCAAGAGAAAGTAGCCTTCACACATTAAGATTTGCTTGTACATCTTAGTTTTAATCGGCGTTGTACTTCAAAATCCTACCGTCTATTGAGGCCTGAACAATAGATCATAGGGTACAAATATATTTCATATTCACTTATTTCAATTTGGCAATAAAAGACTTTTACTAGATGCTTTAATATTAATAAAGATAGCTGTTATAGATCTGGAATACACGGCTCTGATATTTTCGTTCTTCATACGTGGCGACAGCTAATTAATCTGTAATGTATGTACATGTATAAGAAATTCATTTTAATGTTTTATTTATGTAGGTAAATATTTCCATGCAAATAAAGGGAAACATTTTCTCCTTGCTCTCTCGCAACTTTTATCTCGTGTTAATAATAAAAACATTAAACATAAAGATTCGACAGTGATTAATTTAAGTTGCAGGAACTTGTTTCGTAAAAAAAGTTAAAGGCCTGTTTTGCCTCCGATATGCTATCATTTGTATATCTAAAAAAAGTTGTTTTTTTAGCTTTACTCATCATACTCTTTACAAATCATACTCATTTGCTATATATATGAATTATCTTTTGCACCTTTAGTCAAAATACCACATTGTTTATATTTTGCTACCTCTACGACACATAGCTGCATGTCCGGCGCTTCTTTATTGTTGTATTCCATCTAACATGCACTTTATCTTTTTTAAACATATATATTTAACATATTAATGAATTGAAAAGATATGGATTTCTGAGGTATAATGTGCCTTTAAACAAATATGTTTAAACTGAAATAGAATTAGCATACGGTTTATATTTGAATCACAATTTGTTTTTGTTGTTTAAAAGCGTGTTATATTTTTCTTGTCTGTATATTTTCTGTAAAGGGTTAAATGTACTGATAAATACCTGTTTTCAATGTGAAGATACAGAAAGATGAGCCAAATTTCTGCCAATGCTATACGATGAATGGAACTAACAGTGGTTTCTTTACCGATATAGCTGTGTATTATCATTCAAGAGAATTTTAAAAATAGTTTACAGGTAGGCATTCTGGCATCTTCCGTTACAAATTTCACGTAGTCATTAAAATAACGCTAGGAGTCTTTTATTTCTCTTCGGGCCGACTGAAGTTGGGATTAATTTTATGGAATTTGCAATACTGATTAATTATCTGCAGACATAATTGTACTTAATAGGATTTATAAAATGACATGAAGCACAAATTACCCATAGGTAAGTCACATTGATTTGATGTGCATTTTTATTACTTTTGTCATCAAGGTTTTTTTTTGAAATTAGTAAACTTTAAATTTGATTTATTTTAAGTATTTTATACGTTTCAACGAATGTTTTATTATTGCATTGTATGAAAATTTATGTTTTAATTTCAATTACTTAAAAAGCAACTAAAAATAAATTTAAAAAAAAACTGACCAATGTTACCTTATAACCAAATTCGCAAAGTCAAACAAAACTGTTGCATTGATATTTCGCTTATAGTTACTTACATAAAGTTCACACAACATATTAGAGCAAAAACGTTAATTTTAAAGCATTAAAAGCCCATTATGCCTCAGATATAGTATTTTGTATGGAAGTAAAAATACTACTTTGTTTACATTTTACTACCTCTATGACATTTTTCTCACATTTACCTCTAATTTTTTCAGGTTACAAGCAACTTACATTCTCTAAAACTATTATTTAAAATGATATTAAATTCACCTTTGCCCTTTCTAAAGAAGTAAACAAATTTTAGTTTCTGAGGCATATAATGTTTCTTTAAACAAATATTTCTATCAATAATGATATAATAAATGTTATATGAATGTAACTAATGAGAAACTTGTCTACGCCATGTACACTTGAAAAGCAATTAGTTTAATGTTATTTGACATTTATCTAAGCAGAAAAAACAAGCGCAAGATAAAAGTCATCAATACTGTACATTTTTGTATTTAAAAAAAATCTAATATGTTAACATATCCATTCGTGAATTGGAACAAGAGCTGAGAAAAGCTGAAAAAAGAAAATGATATTAGAATAATTATACTTTGTTTTTATAATGAAAACCGTGAGAGGTGGAATCCTGATATGGATTTAGCAAATGTTCCGTTTCTCTGCTATTTTTCCAATGCACTATATTTTCATCGAATTTCTAAATAAATGTAAGGTAGCAACACAAAATGTTATTTATAATGTTTAATATATAATGAAAACGATTGAAATTAAGAAAAAGGGGAGTGATAATCTTCCTTTATTACTAGCTTATTGATGATGTTGTTGTGTTTTTTGTTGGGTTTTTTTTTTGTTGCTTTTTTGGGGGGGGGATGTTTTCTTAAATTAAGATATTTATTAATTTTCATCTATTTTTTATCAATTTACTTATATTTTGGTTTTATTTATTTTCTTCTTATTTGTTATCAATTTATTTATTCATCTTTTTATTATTTATCTATTTATTTATTTATCTATCTATCTATCTATTTATCTATCCATTCATTTATTCATTCATTCATTATTTCATTTATGCTATGTGTTTTTAATTGAAAACGAAACTCCTTAACGAATCAAATTACATTTTGATCATTAATTTCTATCTTTAACATTTTCAATTTCTTACTAGATTTTCCATGTTTTTTTTACTTATAATAACTAAAACAATTGGATATACCATTTATATCCATAGTGCCTTTAAATTATATCGTGATAGTAATGTTTTCACTTCTCCATCCATTGTTTTGTAATTTTTCAAATTCCAAATCTTTCATTTCTTTCTTCAGGCTTCTCTTCCATGCCTTATCTTGCATAATCTTAAGTTTTTAACCATCCTAAATATCAAGAAACTGCTCTTTCTGAAGAAAACATTGACATGGTTATTATTTGGGTGTCAAATTATGTATCAATTTGAAAGACTTTTACGTCTTTTCCTGTCAGCAAGATTCAAGATTAACGAGAAAATGAACTGCGTCTGGATTTGAAAACTGGAAGATTGTTATATGAAAAGAAGGAATAAAACGTACTCCAGAACCATTCAAAATTAACATATTTAAAGATATACTATGCTCAAATCTGATTTTTAAAAATATTGATGATTGCTACACAGTCTCTTTGTATTTATAAAATAAAATGTATTGACCTAATTTTAAGTAGATATGTTATGTTTTGAACTCTACACGCTACAGGTAGTCACAATATGAATATATAGTGTCATTAAAAAAACTGGCAGTTTTTTTAAGAAAAGACTAACTTTACTTGACAACAATCTGTCACGTGACCTCCTAATGTACTTTTGTTCAAATGTATTATTCGCTGTATGCTCACATGCTTGTAATCATTGCTTGAGCTAAATAAAGTTTATGTTGTTGTTGTTGTTGACCCGTAATAGGGAATGCAGCTTCCAATACATAGTTTATTCATTATGTTATTTGAATTAAACATATTCTGTAAGAATTTCATGGATTTCAATACATTTCTAAGGTAAAATATTTTACCTAAAGATGAGCATAGTATATCTTTTAACATAGATTATAGAAAGTAGGACAATAAAGAATATCTTATTATTACTGCTATATATTATTCATGCCGATAAATGCATGGAAGCTTATAAATATTATATTAACTACTATGCTTACTTCACTAGATGTGACGTCATATGCTTTTTACAAATGTAAGTGTTTCAGTTTAAACATGTGAATGGAAGTATAATTATTATTGTTTGTAAACCGTCTTGTGTTGAGTATGTGATTGAAGTATAGCCACATCCACAAAGTTTATGGTCAACGGTCGTATACCATATTGAAACATCCATTATTACAAAGTTATCCACTGTTTTCAGAATATAGTACATCACAAAAGTACATAACATTATAACACAAAACAAACAGTTCTTTCAATGAAGATGCTAATACAGTGCATAGTGTAATTCAAACAAGCCTTACACTGTGTGTGTGCATATAAATTATTAATTTGAAAATATGTTGAAATAATGTTCAACAGTCATGTTTGTTTGACCTGCCGCCAAAATTCATATTACAAAGTTAAAATGGCAACACTTCAAGAATTTCTCATTTAAGCTATGCTGATATAAGTGATACATTACAGTAAAGTTGCAACAAGATAAAGGTTATATCAGCAGGTGTGAAAAACAAGTCAAAGATAACAAATGAAGCTGTGAAACAAATTGTTCAAGTTTTCCCTCTCCTTTCCTTTTTTTATTTATTTTTGAAACATGTAGCAGGAACAACATAAACTGTTAAAGTGGGAACATTTTGAGCTTTGACCTTAATTGTCTCTTTTTCCGACTTTTTGTGAGAGATGGGTAGCTAAATATTCATTAAAACAATAAACTCGTATTATATGCGCATTCCAAACATACTACAATGACAAATGAGACATTTACGAATTTATTTATTTGAAATGTAAAGTTTGATTTTTTATTGTCTTGACAATGTTCTCGGTTTCAAAATGTGTTTGTAAATACAAATTTATCTTAAAGATGCAAATATCAATTTAACACCGGAAGCACAGACCTAATCATTATTTAATGTTTTGCCCTCCTTGCATTTTTCTTGATGAAATTTTGTAAAATCATCATTGATAACTTTAAAGCAATTTGTAGCTAAGTGGTTCACCTGTTTTGAAGCAGGTAGACGTTCTGTAAACCATTATAATGTGCAGATATTCTAATGTGTTTTTAATCAGATCTTTACGAAATTAAACAACATCCGATTTTGTTTCGAAGAAAGTATTTGATGTGCAAAGCCTGGGCAAAAAACCGTTTAATAATAATTTTATAAATACTAGAGTTATATTCGATATTCATACACTTGTCGAAATTCTTAATCGTACTAGTAACATCATTTAAAAAAAATGTAACAAAAAGAGCAGAACATATATGTCCGGCTCATGATTTCCGTTATATACTTGATAATAGTAATGCTATGACCGAGGTACGTGTTTTAGCCATCATTATTATGTTTGGTATCTCGCAGGGCTCCTTGTCGGTGGACCTGTTTTTGATTGGGTATTGCGTTCGGTGAATTCATTGTTGATCTTTTTTTATTTTATGTTAAAGTTTATATCAAAGTGAGCAAAATTATTAAATATTCCCCAAGTTCATTGTTAAGCCTTCTTAGAATCGCTCGATTTTGGTTTAGCGTAGTAGATTCTTTAGAATAATGATAGTTTTTAACCATTTAAGTACATCATTTGTTGCTATTTATTTTTCTAGTCGTAAGAAATGAATAATTGTTTTGAAGTTTTTTGTAGGCTTCTTGTTTAATTTGATGTTTGTTCATTTCCTGCTACTAAATTAAATTACTTTTTAATGTAATGAAACTTATTATTGAACTATTTAAATACATTTCTGTTATTTTGATAATAAAAAGTGATTTAAAAAAAAAGTGTTGATATAGTTTTAATTTAAGTATGTTTGCAAAATATTACAATGAATGGGTTGTTTTGAATACCATAACTCTAGTAAGTGTCTTTTATGCGTCGTAAGCACATATAATTTTTAGGAAAATATGGATTGTTTTAATAATACCCTCACCAAATATAGATTTGGCAGAGGCTAAATATGAGAGGCCTTCTTTTTCCAGTACCTTATTTAAGTACAAATATTAATTTTGAAACTTTAACGCATATAAAGCTTAACAAACAGGTTTAATAGGTCACGCTTCATAACATTTAATTTGCATTATAACAAACGTTTGCTGTATTAATTAACATGGATGACCTTGACATTTACATTTAGTACACCTTTTTATCACTTTCAATTTGCATCAATATAAAAACGTTTATGGATTGTACAAGTACGATTTTCTTCTGTTTAGATCTATACAATTTTGATGATGAACTTTTATTCCTTTATTCTTAAAGTTATTGTTCACAGTTGTACAATAGAACATATTTTGCTTTCTTAAGTCAAGCATAAACATTTCAATATATGCACAATGATTGGTCCTGGATTGGATTGTTGGTATTGCTTTGGTATTGCTTAATTTTTATTTTATATCTTTAAGTCATTTGATACTGTTACTTGTGAAGAGATGTTGTCCGACAATGTTTCTTGTGATGACCTTTTTCTCCTCTTTCATTTTCTACTTCGGTTATGACTCGCAGTCATCTTTCGTAATATATTGTAAATGACACAAAACAGGGCAACGTAATAGACATTGATTGTAAAATACACTGTTATATTATGTCTTTCTAGTTGAGTAATTTTAAGC